TTGTTTTTTTGTGGTTTTTTTTTTTTTTTTTTTTTTTTTTTTTTTTTGGCTGAATAATATTCCCTTGGGTATATTTTTATAGCCATGCTATTTTGATAACTCTAAAATAGGACTTACAAGAACTGAGACGTTTGTGCATGCCGAGTTTTTGTGTAGGACCGCTTTACCATTTTTATTTATGTAATGAGTTTATTGGGTGCCTGTAGAGATCAAACAAGGATGTGTAAATTCCTGGCGTTTCCATCCACCAGAGAAAAAGACACTTGAGTTGTCCCTATTTGGATGGAAAGCATGTGACTCTAAGCTGCCAGCTTAGGTACTTGCTAATAAGGCCGAAATGTCAAACCTTAGGTGATCCAGAGCCATAAACAACTCTACAGTCAGTTCTCTTGTAGGGAATCTTTTGAGCATTTTCTACCCTTAAAGTCTTGCTTCAGGGAACAGGCGTCTCGCCTTAAAAAGGATATTGGCCCCAGAGTCAGGTCCCTCAGGTTCTATTTTTGGTTACTCGATTGCTATGAGGTCTTGCACAACACAGGGGCATGCACTTTCCACAAAGCGAGAGGCAAGACTGACCTCTGCACTTGAGGCTGGGTTCCCAGGGCCTTGGGGACTGGCTGGAGCGCAAGCCCACCTTTCTCTGACGCCAAAGCAATTTACTCCAATGTGAAATTAGAGCTCCGATCTGGGCATGGCACAAGTGCTTTGTCTTGCCCTTTACTGTGAATCTAGAAGTAAAAATCTAGAACTAGAAATAGTTCAAAATTTAAGAGTTCTACAACTTTCTTACTTTGTGCGTGTGTGTTTGTGTGTGTGTGTGTGTGTGTGTGAGAGAGAGAGCGCGCGCTCGCGACAGAGACAGAGAGAGAGAGAGAGAGAGGGAGGACTGTAAAGGAGGCTGTAGGAAGGGAAGGATGGGGGTAAGAAAAGAAGGTGAGGTGTCAGCACAGGTGAGGCGGCAGAGGGAAGAGTTCCGAGTTTCAAGGGCACTTTTAGGACTTTGAAAACCAGGTCGCAGAGCCTTATCTTCTGGGGACTACAGTTCCCGGGAGCACTTGCGGCCCACAGAGGGGCGGGACCTCGCACTCAGCCCACAGAAAGCAGCAGCAATCTGATTGGCGGTCACTGCGCAGACTCGGGGTTGGGCGCGCGTCCCCGCGAGGTCTCAGGCGCTTAGAGTGTGTGCGGTGAGCTAGTCCGGGCTGCGCGCGTGCGTCGCCCCGGCCCCGCCCCTCCTTCCTGGAGCCGCCGCTGAGGCAGAGGCGGCGGGGCAGCCGGGAGGGGGGCGGCTGGTGGCCGGAGCTGCACGCGCTCGTCCCGACCCTATGCAGTGACTCGTGCGGCGCAGGCGCCTCTTGCCCCGCCGGCGGGGCCCGGGCTCCCGCGGAGGGATGTTCTCCCGAAGGAGCCACGGGGATGTGAAAAAGTCCACGCAGAAGGTGCTGGACCCCAAGAAGGACGTGCTGACCCGCCTGAAGCACCTGCGGGCGCTGCTGGGTGAGGCTTGGGGCGCGCGTGGGTCACCTGCCGGGGGTCCAGGTTCCACCCGCGGCGTGGGCCTGGCGGGGTTTCACGTCCGAGTGATGTAGCGAGCTGGGGATGGTGTGCATCCGACCTCCGTAGCTCGGATCGGGACCCTTGAGGCATTGTTCCTGAAGGCAGTGGGTTGGCCCTGGGCGCTGCCCTGTGGCCCGAAGTGTAAACTTAGCCAAGATTCTTATTTGGGCACCTAGCCTCGGGTAACCTCGAAGCCAGGCACAGAGGTGACTATACCCTGTCCTCTCCAGGAAATAAACCCAGCACAAGTGGCGCGGGCGAGAACACACACACACACACACACACACACACACACACACACACACACTTAAATTCTTGACAACTTGGGTTAAACCAAAACCTCACATGGTTCCATCCCAGACTTAGTTGAACTGTCGTCTTTCTCACCCACTCTTCTTTTAAAATGTTATTATGTTTGAGTGTAAAACTTTAGATAGACCGATTCCAAGTGATCCCAGAATAGAGTTAGATGTCATTTCTGCTCGCCTGTCTTTCTCCCTTTTAAAATTAATCCTTTTGTGGAGGGGAGAGGGTCTAGCTGATAGCGTTTCCTTGAGTCCTTGGTGTGAAGGGGGTTCTGCTCAGAGGAGCGAAGGCTTTCTTGAGTTCTGGGAGGCTGCTTCTCCCTTATAACCAGAATGACAACCATCCAGCCTCTGAACTCGCCTTTTTATGGCCTGCAGGGTGGAGGTTCTACAGAGCCCAAGTGGGTCTGGAATTGACCTATGATGACTTGAAAGCTCACCCCTGTGGGTGTGAAGTGGCCACAAGGTTACCTACTGCTGGTGATGTGTACCTTGGCTGTGTTATTACCTGGTTCTAGTTCTGTCTCTGTCCGTCCTAACTTTTGTTCAATATGGAAATACTTTTACCTGTCTATGGACAGATTTACCTGTATTTGGGGGCCAGGGAAAAGACATATATCTCCTACATGTATTTACTGTTGAAATAATAGTAATAAAAATTAAAAAGCAAACAAACAGAACCAGTTTTAGACCATCTGTCACTTGAGAAAATAGGGCATAAAGAATTCATTTTATAGGTGAGAATTTTAAGCATCTTGTTAATGAGATTAAAAGTTGCTAATTATTTCTATTTATATTGTGTAAACTATCTCTGGGTTGGGAACAGGCCAGTCAACCAGCCAACCAATGAACCAACAAAAATCTAAAACCCAAAACCATGATTACCACCACCACCACCAGAAACAGAAAAACTACCTTCCTCCCAACACCCCTCCCAAAATAAAACAACCTTCCCCCACAAAACCCACCAGGTTTTGACAAATGACGTTACTTACTATCTCAGATTCCTGGAGATTATACTTAATGTGTTCAGTTTATAATGAATGTAAATCAGCTACTGTTAGAAGGATTAGTTTCTGGACTTTTGAAAATCCAGAATGTGGTGTTCTTGATAAATTGAACTTTCTCCTTCCTGTAGTGAAATGCCCAGGCACACAAGTGCTTTGTGTTGCGTCCTTAGTATCTGATTAGCTCCTGCTGCAGGGGCGTTTTTGATAAAGGAGAATTGAACAGTATTTTAAGGCATCTGATACTTTGGAACTTTTTCTGTGCTGAAGAATTTAAGCCTTTGTTCTGACCAAGGAGGCCAAGATTAAGTTGGCTACATTTTATAAAAACAGAAAACCCAGATCAGACTAGTTTCTTAGAGATTACACTGTCCTTGTTGCCATTCAGAGAAAGTGGATACTTTCAGGTCTGAGTATCCCTCCTTTTTCCCTTAGGTGTGTGTCTCCTTACAGCTGCAAGTAGCAGGAATAGGCTGTGAGCCTGGTCAGTGGTATCTCTTTATGATTTTATTTCATTTTCTAAGTGTGTGTGGTGTGTGTGGTGGGCTTTGTGCTAGTGAGTCAAGTAACCACCAGGCCAGTAGACAGATCACCTGGGGCTGGAGCTCCAGGTGGTTGTGAATTGCCCTGAGATTGAGTACTGGGACCAGAGCTCAGTACAAGAGCAGCAGGTGCTCTTAACCTCTGAGCCATGTCTACAGCCTGAATCACCTTTATGTGTGAAATATAATAGCTTTATTATCACTCAGAGGTAAAATTTGTTTAAAATACTGTGTGTACTGTTGAGTTTTTCCGTATTTCATTGAGAATACTTTTGAGGTTGATTATTGCCAAGTTTACGTTATGTATTACTGTGATCTTTAACTGTAGGGGCTCTATTTTCTTTTCTTAAATTTGAGGAGTTTTGGCCATAATAATTATTATGAACTTTTGTTTTATACCTCTTGTTTGAAGACTTTAAAGAAAACTAGCGCATTAAAGTATTAGTTCCCACAACATCAAATATCTTATCTGGTAATGACCTTTTAAAAAAGACAGTGTTATTGAACTGAAAAATAGGAAATAAGTCGATATGAAGGTAACTGAAGGGAATGAATTTAATTAGTATGCACGTTATGTCTGCATTTAAATTCTTATTTTTCCTGTATGTGTCTTCAGGTGAAATAGGCTGGTACTTTTTTCACATATAAGGATCTGGGTTTGCAGCCAGTCACTGCCACTTGTAGCTGCACAGCTTGGGCCAGTACTTAGTCTGCCCTTGAGCCTCAGCTGTTGCTCTGTCAAATGGATCTGGTAAGGTGAGGATACAAAATGTAATGGCTTCAGTTTGGAGCAGACATTTACCAGATTCTTCTTTATTGCTTCCTTCCCACCATTGATAGGACACATTTTATGGTATTTTCTCCACCCTTTTTTATTTTAGACAATGGTAATGACTTTATTCTTTTTTCATAAAGGGACTGTAGTTCAGACTGCTTGTGGGGAAATGGTTGACTATGAAGAGTAGAATATATTTTAGGATTATGATAATGACTTCAAGTCAGTGCTGCCTAGATAGCTTGTCCCGGCTAAATGTTTTAAATTAGTTCTCACAGGGCTGTGTCTAGATGGTTTGTATGTATCACTGGCAGGAACAAGGAGCTGACTTAAGTTCTCCTTACACTATTTCAATCATCATTGGGAAAGTAACTGAATAAACCAAACAGATGCCACCCACCCTGCACACCACCCCGGAGTATTACTGTAATGCTCCAGCAAACACGTAATCCCAGCCTTTGGGAGGTTAGGGCAGGAGGATGAATGTTATTTCAGATTGCATAGAAAGTTCTATGTCAGTCAGGTCCATAAAGCAAGGTCCTGTCCAAAATCAAATAAAAAAAATTTAAGGCATATATATAATTTAAAATTTTTTAAAGTACATTTATGACACAAAAGAAGCAAGTGAAGTTAATTTTAGTGTTTTATTTAACCTAGTGTATTAGATGAGCAGGTAGCAGTAGAGACTAACAAATAGCTCTACAGTACTTCTTCAGTGTGAGCTCTGCGAAACCCAGTGTGTGTTATTCAGTCAGCACGTGTGTGTCCTCATTAGCCACATTTCACACGCATAGTAGCAAGAGATGGCTGGTGGCTACAGCTAGTAGGTCTTGAATTTGGCAAAGCAGAGGGGTAGAGTAGGGCAGTTCTAGCCAGAAGAGGGAGACCAGGTAGCTGATAGCCATCAGGCAACGGTGCGGGAGAGTGACTCCCATCTTCCTCCACTGGCAATGGGGAGTTGGAGCTCTGGGCTCAGAGGACCCTTGCATGGAGCCCTGTGTAAGTCAGGGCTGGAGGCAGCTATTCTGACAAGCAGGGCCCGAGGCAAACCTGGTGGCCCCATCCGACAGGGTTTGGCTTGCTTGAGTTAGAAGCTCACACATATCTTTAGGTGGGAGTTTGTGTGGACACTTCTTGACAGGCCAGTAGAGAAGGTGTGAGAACTGCCCATCTGACAGGGACACCAGAAGTGGATCAGGAGAGCAGAGACAGGCAAGGCTTCCTTGAAAGGGCTGTGGCAGGCAAGCAATGGGTTGTTGGAAGAGGAAGTCCAGGATGATTGATCAGAGCAGCAAGAACTGGTGGTACTCCAAATGCAGTGGGCTCGCACATGCTGGCTAGAGACTGATCGGTGGAGCTCTGACACTCAAGTCAAAGTGGAGGTCAGCACATGGGCCTCAGATTTGTAAGAAAACCTTTTTTTTTACAAATGTCTGTATATTTATAGAGCAAAGTATAGCATATTTCTTCTTGCTTTAAATAAGGTTAAGTTCACTTGAAATTTTAGTGTTGCCTTTTACTTATGTTTATTTTGTGTGTGTATATGTTACGTGTATGCAGCATATGTGCGCTTTTGTGTGTATGCGTACATACAGAGATAGAGGAGGACATCAGCTGTCCTGCCCTATCGCTCTCTGCCTTCTTTCACTGAGCTTAAGACCCTTATCCTTAAGGATAAGGAATAGATAAAGACAATGGCAGACAACAGAATTTTGCAAAGACAGTTCTACAAGGCACCAAGGAGTGAAGCAGACAGTGGCTTTTGGACTGGGTATGTGTAGACAGTGGGAGCCCAGTGGGATGTTTACTAGCTCTTAGTAAACTTAGAGCTAGTCAGGTGGCCAGAATGTCCCAGGGGTCCTCTGTCTCCACGCTCTTCACAGGTTGCAGATGTATATGCTACCATGAGTGCTGGGGATTTGAACTGGAGTCCTTCATACTCGAGTGTGCAGCAAGTGCTCTTACCCATTAAGCCATCTCCCCAGGTCCATATATATATATATGTGTGTGTGTGTGTGTATGCACACACACACACACACACATATTAGCATTTATTTATTTGTTTGTTTATTCGTATTCTTCATGTTTTATCCCTCTCAGTTTTAGTTCCAAACATTTGTGAGCACTGTGTGCCATAATCCAGTAGCCTAGACTGGTTCAAACTCTCCATCTTCCTTTCTTTACCTGATTCGTTCTGGGATTACAGGTGTGTGTGCCAGCATGCTCAGCTTTTTCCTTTTCCTTCTCTTCCCCTCCCTCCTCTCTTTCACTCCTTTTTCTTTTCCTACTGCCTCTTTTTATCTTCTGATAA